AGTGGGTTAAGAAAAAAATTGTTTTTATTTTTATTTTACAGTATATTTAAAAAAAGCTGGTCTGGGCTCCTGATATACTGCATTCAATGTGCACCAGGTACATTGGTATTTTACTCTAAACTGTACACCCTAAAAATGCTGGGTTGTTTTAACCCAACTTTGGGTCAAATATGGACAAACCCAGCCATTGGGTTAGATTTTTCAATTACATTTTTAACCGAACGTTTGGGTTTGTCCATATTTGACCCAAAGTTGGGTTAAAACAACCCAGCATTTTTAGAGTGTACACAATGTTTGACTTGTATCTAGGGACCCAGATTTGTGGTTGGGCTATGTTGACTTGGGACAGTAAGCAACCACCTAACAACCAGTTATACAACCCTAACAACCACCTATAACACTAACAAACGTACAGCCCTATTAGTGTCATGGTAGCAAGTCATGCATGGTTAAAAAACACACATTCTTTTTACAAAACATAAACAATCATTTTTTCAACAGAAGGTTTACCATTTGAGTAAACATAAATATGCATGTTGAGATTGCTCTAGAAAATATTGCATTCATCAGACAAACATCTTAAAATGAGTTCATTTGCATGCTTTATTTACCATCAATAATTTAAAAGCATCTGTTAATCTCATTTTTTACAGGAATGTTTTAGTGATGCATTGCAGCGAGCCGATCACACTAAAAGCGTCTCCATTGCACGCAGTGTGTTTATCGTGCAATTTATACGCTAAAGTGAGTTTTTACGTGCATGGGTTGGTTAGGATAGGTTTAGTAGTGGTGTGGGGTGTGTGTGTATTATACGTTTGGAATTAGTGGTGTGTATTACACGCAAATGAACTGCATATCAAATGCACGCGAAAACTGTGTATCATATGCATGCTAACAAACAGCCTTGTCAGCCATATTGGTATCATGGTAGCAAGTCATGCATGGTTAAACATTCGTTTTTTTTCAACAGAAGGTTTATCGTTTTCTCATTTTCGCGTATAAATCGTACGACAATAACTAATTTTCGCATTTAAATTGTACGACAATACACAATGCGTGTTATAGAGAGAATTTATGTGAGAACAGGCTGATGTTCAAACACTCCGGAAATGACAGATCCATGGGGAAAACTTGCATATATTCGGAGATGACGATTTATTTCTAATACAGCGTATCTAAAATATGTGGTCACACTTAAGTTTAGAGTCCAATCCTCAATATTGACTATGACCTTTGCCTCAATAAACTCTTAGTTACTGTTTATTAATAGTTAATAAGGTGGTTGTTAAGATTAGTTATGGGATGAAAAATAAGGTCATGTACAATAAGGCATTAATATGCGTTTTATAAGTACTAATAAACACCTATGCATGCTTATAAGCAACTAGTTAATAATGAGAATTGGACACTAAACTAGTGTTACTAAATTGGTAAAGTAAATTGGTCTTGCCATCTGCTGGTTTTGCCCCTGCACTCCACCTGTGTTTGACATGTTGACCTTAGATAAGTCCATTACATGAGGAATGTCTCTGTCTAGGCGGGACCAAAGCAAACCACAAAAAGCTCATAAAAGAAGTTCTGAAGACATTTTACAATACACACACACACCTTAATTATAGCTTTAAAATGCACACTCCTCTTTCATTAGACAGAATTGGCAAGAAAATTGCACTCCTCTGTAATAAAGCACTGATTTGACGGTCTTTTGCAATTATTTTCCTTTATCAAACAATGTCCAGAATTCTGACTCCTTCTTCTGAGACGAAATGAACAGCTAAGAAAGAGTAATTCTCAGACAATTTCTAACTCATTACCAAAAAAAAATGACATTCTATCTCCACAATCCAAGTCTAAAGTCTAAAAAGATAAAGTTTAACAGTGGTCACGTACTCCGGGTTAACCTAATTCACAATATCTCATCACACGGGAAGAATAAAACGGAAGCTGTACTTCTGCTCTCTTGAATAATAATGAGAGTCGTTTGATGGTGAAATTCACAAAATGATCCTCACTTGTTCCAGAAGGAGGAGGCCTCGAGATTACCCACAAACCTATGCAGCGTAAGCCTCCTCCTGCCCAGATGGGTCATCTCTAATTCATCACTAGGGAGAGGAACTTTTTAAAAATGGAAAAGGAAATGGCACTCCAACAATCCCCAGCGGCCTCACTGTACGAGCGCCAGGCGGGAGTGTGAATTAAAAACACCGGCGGATGAACCATGCTGATGCAGAACAAGTGTCAGGTGACCATGGGTAGCGATCTCATTGGCTTGACGTAATCATCATAGGCAGTAGCAACACACAGAGTCAGGCTCCTCCCCTCAAAATAACACAAGAGACACATGACTCAATGCATGAAGAGAAAATAGCCAAGCTTAATTAAGCCGCTTACTCAAGGTCTATAAAGAAGCCACAAACATTATGCAAATAGAACGGAGGCTATATCGAACTGAGTCTGCTGTGAAGAGCGAAGGCAACTAAACAATTAGAGCTAATAAAAGTGAATGGGAAATGAAAGATTAAATGGATATTTAAGATGGCAATAAAGACTTAATTGCTTAGTACTCCGTGATAAGCCAGTGGAGACGATAATCACACAGTGAATGTAAAACACAAAGACGTGCTTGACTTGAGATATCCTTGTGGTTTTACTACGCTGTGAAGTGTTGAATAAACTGCTCAAAAAATGTTGCAAGCTAACCTGTAATACACTCACTCACTGTAATACACTGTATATATAATTATATACTTAATTATATATCATTATATATATATATATATATATATATATATATATAAAATAGTAAAGAGTTCTTCACAAACTGCGCTCACAGTCATTGATTCAAACCACATTGACTCATTGAAAAGATTTGATTCAAAAGAGTAATTCATTTGTGAATCTTACATCACATATACAAACTCTAACCAGCCGACTGAGAACACAAACACAAATCTAGACCAGGGTTATTATCATTAACTAAATCTAAAACCATATTAAAAAAAAAATTATGAATTGAAAAAAAAAAAATCAAACTCATTATTACTATTTCAACTAGTTGCAACATTGTATAACTATTATAAATACACACACATGCTTGTATATATCTAAGAATTTTTTTCATGCATATACTGTACATAGATTTATATATATATATATATATATATATATATATTAGGGCTGTGCAAAAGTTAATTGCGATTAATCGCATCCAAAATAAAAGTCTGTTTTACATAATATATTTGAGTGTGCTGTATATAATTATTTTGTATATATAAATACCTATGCATGCATGTATATATTTAAGAATTATTTGCGCTTAAATTCTGTATATATATATAAAAATACATAATCTATATTATATAAATATAAATATTTTATATAGGAATAACACATTTTCTTAAACATATACATGCATGTGTGTGTATTTATATATAGAAAATAATTATATACAGCACACACAAATATACTATGTAAACACAGACTTTTATTTTGGATGCGATTAATCGCAATTAACTTTTGCACAGCCCTAAGATATATATTATTTTTTTTCTTAAATATACATGCATGTATGTGAATTTATATATATATATATATATATATATATACACAAAATAATTATACACAGTGCACCCACATATATTATGTAAATACAAACTTTTATTTTGGACGCGATTAATCGCGATTAATCATTTGGCAGCCCTAATATAGGCATACAAAATGACAAAAAATACTAAAAGTTTAAATACAATTAAAGTGAAAATAATAATAATAATAGTAATAATAATATCTTATTCAAAATATTAACAAAAAGTATATTATATTATATTAATGATCTGGAGGGGGTTAAAATAAAAATAAAAAATGGTGTAATTTATCTCCCTCTTATCATTCCAAATGACAAAAATTAGCTGAAAAATGCCATTTATTAAAAACTTCTCTAACATGTGTACGGTATATATATATATATATATATATATATATATATATATATATATATATATATATCACTAATACGAAAGGTAGGAGAAATACTAGCTACAGTAGTTTATATTTGCTGTGTGTGTGTGTGTGTGGGGGGGGGGGGTTATTAACGTGCTTGAATAACAACAGGACCTCTGCATCTGTCTTGAAATCTGCCTGTCACTTCTAATAACCACTTCCTGCTAAGAGGGAAAAGGAGGGGAAAGGACTGGAAAACAGGCATGGTGAAATAAGAAAAGAGGGCAGAGGTGCTAGGATGGCGTGTCTTGAGAAAGCCGGCCCGGGTCGGGTGTGTGTGTGAGTGTGTGTGGGGGTTTGGGTCAGGATAAGCTGTACTAGACTGAAGCTCAAATGAATGAGTCTGTCAGGCTGAGCTCTGGCCTTGACTGACTGTTCCTTTCAACCCGACATCCAACCCAGAGGCTCCTCCACGCGAGACGCCTTCCCTAATGATGATGCACGACTCCCGGTGTCACGGGCCCTTGAGGTGCTGGGGGGCGGGGGGGGGTCTCTGCAAACTGCCGGGGAATGAGAAACCGAGACCACCTGAATTGCAAACAAGCAGCCGAACCTCTGTCACAGCCGTTTCAATGGGCCGAGAGAGAAAAGTGAAATGGATGCTGGCGGTTCGAGAGAATCGATTGCGAAAATTAATAAGTGAATTCCCTGCAGCACGCCTGGCACCTCAAACATCTCAATCTCCTTCCTTTCTTTCTCTTCTCTCCGCGAGAGGGATTTGAAACACCTCCCACATGCCGTCAGTCAGTTCCACCGATCCATAGACAAAAGAGCTGCGTTTCAAAGACACTCACGGAGACCGGAGCCCTCGTTTTGTAAGGTTAGCGAAATCCTCGCCCAACAACGTGGGTGTCGTTCTCTCCTTATTCTCTCATTCAAAACCCTTTTTTCCATAGAAATACTGTATTCAATAATCTCTCCTTGACTCCAGAGTCCACACTTAGCTCAAAAATACAATAAATAAATATATTTATGGAGCACTTTTGAGTTCCTGACAGTACCTGTTCTTGGCGCTCCAGCCACTGGTCCACCATGGGATGGTTGGCACTGAGGGAAGAGCGGGCGTTTTCCCTGTGAAACTGAGACGCCCAGGGGACGCCATCCCGAGGCAGGCTGCGGTACGCTTCCAGATCCTTAGCCTGGAAACACAGTGCCGGTGATAAAAGAGGCCATTTACACCTGGTGTTAAACTCACAATGAAATCAACATTTTTCATTTTTATAAATCAGTGATCCGTGTACAGTACACTATTAGTTATTTTTAGGGCCCGAGCACCGATGGTGAGAGGACCCTAGTGTTTTTGCTCTGTTTCTTCTTCTTCTTCTAAAAAGAATCGCTTAAACATGCCCGAAAACTCATGAAACTTTGCACACGCTTCAGAAGTCGTGGGAAATTTACGTGTGATATGGTTTTCAAAACTGGGTGGGGCAAATTCTTTAAATTATTGCCCCCACATTTTGCCCCGGGCTCTACGTTTCACGTACAGGTATGACATTTGGTACATACACGTAATGAGCCAATAGCTACAAAAAAGTCTCTTGGAGCATAGCCCTAAACACAACAGGAAGTCAGCTATTTTGAACTTCCTCCTAGATTTTGTGCATTTTTCGTAATTTCCTTATGTTGTACTTTAAAAAACTCCTCCTACAGTTTTGATCTGATCCTCTGATCCTGAATCTTATGGCCTTTGCGACGTTAAATTGAGAAGATCTTGAGTTTTCGTTGAAGGGTGTGCCCATGGCGGCCTGACAAATGTGCACACAATTACAGCCTTTTGGTGATTTGTGCATGAATATGTCATATAGGTCAATATTGCTTGCAGTTCCGATGTTGCTATGCAACCACAGACAGCCTGCAGTAACTCAGGCATACAATGTTCGATCTGCCCCAAACTTCACATGTTTGATAAGAGTCCTGTCCTGAACACATGACCATGCTCATATTTGGTTATAGCAATAGCGCCACCTGCTGGTAGCAGGAAGTGTGGCAAATACAAATACTTTGACATAGTCCTCCTATATTTATTATCATTCCACACTGCCCACCGTGCTCTGTCTTCCTAAAACCGCCAGGTGGCGGCGGCACGGGTGCGAGAGCCCTTTTCATCGCTGCTTGCAGCTTTAATTTTATTTGTATGTATGTGACCTCATTCAAAATAACTTCCCCTCCCTCCTACAGCATCTCTTCTCTGATGAAGTGGGCGGGGGAACCTGTCACTCACATGAGATCAGCCAATAGCAAACCACAACCATCCAATCAATTCCTCACGGACACAATCAAGCCCAGAGCGTTTCAATCATATATACGGCACAATAGGAAAGAAAGGGTTTACTTTAAAGGGTTGGTTGGAAAAATGGAAAAATGTACACTCTAAAAAAGGCAGGGATGTTTCAACCCAAATTTGGGTCAAATATGGAAAAACTCAAATGTTGGGTTAAAAATGTCATTTAAAAATTTACAGTTTTGGGGTTTTACAGTTACAACATTTGGGTTTGTCCATATTTGACCCAAATTTGGGTTAAAACAACCCAGCATTGTTTAGAATGTATCTATTATAAAACCCCAAAAACCTACCTATGCATACAATTCACGTTCAGTTTCCAATATCGAAGTGTGAGTGTGTGTTTGTGATATACCCCTTGAGACATATCATCTCGTATTCGAGGGGGTCCCAACATATAACACAATAATTACAAAGCAACAAAGAAGTAAGCGTGTGTGTTAAAAAGAAGCTACTTTAACGATTAAACCAGCTTAGCTATTACACAAAAACAGACTGGGTTTTAATAATACACTCTAAAAAAAAATGCTGGGTTGTTTCAAATATGGACAAACCCAAATGTTGGGTTAAAAATGTAATAAAAAAAATTACAGTTGTAAGTGAAAGTTGAAGTTGGGTAAAAATTTTAAGTTACATTTTTTACCCAACATTTGGGTTTGTCCATATTTGACCCAAATTTGGGTTGAAACAACCCAGCATTTTTTTAGAGTGTATGAATACCAATTTCCTGATGTGCAATATAGCAAAAACCCAGATTAAACTCACTGTGCAGTGGATGGTGTACGAAGCTCATCTTGGATCCAAGCCCAGCAATGATATCATTCAGGCCGCCTAAATTTATAGGGCACGCTAATTTCATTTCTCACTAATAAGGAGCTCCATTACAAGCTACTAATTCACACCATGTCTCTAATGTTACACTGCATGTTTTCAAAAAGGTGAAATCAAACGCCCTCTGGCACTCGAGCTCAAGTCAAATCTCCATTTGAAGAGTTTTTAGAGCAAACCTAAAACAGGTTATCCTGTGACACACAGGGCTTTAGCCTAGAAAGCCCACTGAGCACCGTTGCTCTTGGCTAATGACCTAGTCTGAACAATGAGGAAGAGGAAAACGAGGTTCCAGTTATAGCATGAGCCAATTCACAACCGGACATAACCGCGATCCCATACAGTGATTTTGATATTCCTGCTGGTAAAATGATCTATATAGGTAATCCTGACATTAAACAGCAGGATAAAATAGAGGAGGAAGAGACACAGCGAGGAACGTGAAGAACAACAGGTCAAAGGCCCATAGGATGAGTGCAGAATTCATACAGATGGCCTTATGAATGAGCATGCTGTAGTGATCCAAAGGCAGCAGGAGGCCTATAGGTTTCTCATAGTTCAGGAAGAGATACTGAGAGACAGATGTTACGCTGAGACCAAACAATGCTTTGTAAAAACACACATTCTGGCCAATAAATACATTAAAATGTAATGTATATATCTTTTATATGATGAATATATAGTTTTGATTAAATAAATAAACATGGCGAGGTTAGTTCTAGTTGTAAAATGTCAAAAAACTAGGTGTTAGTATATTATTTATTTTACTTTGACCTTGATGGTTACACCACATGACATTGAAAACAAATTCAATTAGGCTACATATTTCTTTATCTTGGACAGTCATTGACCCCCAGACCAGCAAGTCGTGGCCAAATAGAATGAGATAGCTATAATCAAAAGTTATATCTAAGATGTATCCCAAAAAAAAAGCCACAGTGTTTTTGAGAAGGACTATTTCTGCATATATCAGCCAAGGTGCAAACACGCTACATTTCTTCTCAGCGCCAGCTATTCTTACTTCAATGTGAACTAACACCTTTATGTTCTCTAAATAGAGCACATTTATATTCACCCCGTTGCTTATCGTCATCTGACAGTATCAACCATGAACAGACCTTCCAAACAACTCAAGCTTTTCTTACGAAATCCCCCAAAAAACAATCAAGAAATAAATGATCCGGTGCAGAACGAAAGGTAAAAAATAACAGCTTAATTCTTCTGCTCCGCTAAAATAAGAGTGTGGTGTTTGGATTATGGAAGAAACCGACAAGCAAAGTGCTTTTAAACAGGATTACTAGTGAACGGCATGAGACGCGCTAATCTCATCGAGGGTTGTGGTGTCACATTCGGAGTACTCCATCTTCCCTCGCTCCCTCCCCTTTGCCCTTCTTTTAATTTGGAATATTGCTGTTTCAAAGCACTGAAGGCTTGTCATCACTGCAGAAGAGCAGCCATTTTGTAAGGATAATTGGCCTCTTTTTCATTGGTTGCCTTGGGGAGACTAGAGAGGAAAACGGAGAATATGCCTCTCTTTGATTCATTTAAAGCCCAAGGCATTGACCATCGCAACGAGGCCACAATCAAGAGGGAAGCAACAAACAAAGAAAGCAGATCGCATTCTTCTTACAGCAAAGACTAATGGTTCCATAACCAAGAGAGTTCCAGGTCAACAACGAACAGGGGCAATGGTCATCTAGAGTATCTCAAGATGAATGAGAACCACTTCTTACCAGTTGTCCTAAAAATGCTCCAATTGCTTCGATTTGTGCCAGACAAAAATCCTAAGGCCGTGCGTTAGCCAGCTGAAAACGCTAGACGCTCTGCTGAAGACGCCGTGCATTGGGCGCTTGAGAGCGTTTTGGCAGCGCGGCGTTTTTTTCCGTTGAGACGTTTCGTTGCTATGATACAGAATATCCGCAGCAGTTTGAATGTTGACAGTTGGTCGGTGTGGTATTAGTCCCGCCCCTCCTCCACTGTGATTGGACGGCTGGGTAAAAAGTGACAGTGATGAGCGCTGCGTTTTATCCAAAGTTGAACATTTTTCAACTCCCAGTGACCAGTAAAAACGCCGGGCGCTTCAGCGTGAAAAAACGCCTCGGTACGCTCATGGCGTTTAAAAAACGCGGCGCTCCCATTGAAAACAATTGAAAACATACGCCAGGCACGTGGAAAAACGCTTTGGTGGACACATGGCCTAACCTTAGACTTTACACTGTGCGATTTTGGCTGTCTGAGACAAATTTTGCAAGTACTAAAAGAATCTTCTGATCCTGGACTAAAATCTGAAGTCTTTGATCGTTAGTTTGACATGTTCACCGACAGCCGAATAACGACCAAATTTGACCTCAGACGAAAACTGTGACAGTGACGGACGTCAAATTGTTTTCGTTTTTTTTAAACAAGCCATGACCAAAGTTAACTTTTGAGTTTTCTTTGTAGCCACCATTTCAATCCCGCATGTAATGCAGCTCACATCACCGAACGTATCATTGATTGATGATGGAAAACTCTGGACAAGTTTTCTTGCGTGCGAACAGAGGCAATGGTCATCTAGAGTATCTCAAGATGAATGAGACGGAGCAAAGGGAAGCAACCCGATCTCACGGGAATTCGTACGAATTTTACGAGGTGGCTAATTCGTAACAATTCGTACGACCTCACTCGTACGAATTAGTACGAATGACCTACCCCTGACCCCGCCCCTAAACATAACCATCACGTGGGTTTAGACAAATCGTACGAATTCGTACGAGTGAGGTCGGATGAATTAGTACGAATTAGCCACTTTTGAATCACTCGTACGAATTGGTCGTGAGATAGCGTAGAGGGAAGCCACTTCCCCCGTTGACACCAGGGAAAACTCGAACCTCAAACCGGCAGCAGATTCCTGTGGATGCTGGACAGCATCATGTCGAGAAGACGCTGTGCTGAATAGCTCGCGGAAAGGAGGCATTTAGAGAGATTGATTCATCTGACGAGTCGTTTGAGGATCATTGAAAATGTGGTGATGTGCAAATTTATATTATGAGAAAATGGAGACTCCCAAACAACATTAGGCAACTTTAAAATAGCATAACAGTGGCACTTCAAGCAAGTTCAGAAAGTTAAATTAATATTCTCTATAAAAATAGAACAAAACTCACCTTTTGCTCTAGACTACTGGTTCTGCTGGTGGCGTTGGCTTTCATGAACCCTGCCGTGGTGGACCAGCGTGTGGGATTCTTACGAGACGGTTCCTCTGGCTGAAGCTGGGCTTCGGGAAGACCGACCAGGGTTGGATCACTGCTACGCCGCACATGCAAGGGCATGTCTGAAACAGAGAGAAGAGAAAGATCTGGTTAACAGCATATTTTCATGCATCTCACTCCAAAAACTGGAGTTTCTTCACTACAGTGCAATAAGACATCCTTCCCATATGACCGCAGATAACAAACACAACACCCCGGCTCGATTTCCAACAGAAAGGCCCTTTTCAGTGCCACAAAAGTGTGACAGGGACACAGTAGTACATTTATGTCTGACACAAAGCCAGTTCCTTGGAGCATTGCAAAGAAAGGCGGTGGCAATAGGACCATTTAGCTGGGCTTGTTCTGTGGCACGCGCACACCACACACACTTCCGAGGAAGATGAGCGAGGCGAGACAGAGGTGTCCCTGTGCTGCGGCGCTGTAATGGGTTTGAACTGCAGGGCAGGTGGGGGGGATTAGTTAGATACCGGTTCACTCTTCCCGTCTCACACAGCTCAGATCGCTGCTCTGGCTTTTGTGCTCGTGGGCTTTTTAATAACACTTACTATTAAAGCATTATGTATAAAATGCCTGATAATACACCTACAATGAATATAACTGTAACCATAATATATATACACACTGACCTAAAGGATTATTAGGAACACCTGTTCAATTTCTCATGAATGCAATTATCTAATCAACCAATCACATGGCAGTTGCTGCGGTGCATTTAGGGGTGTGGTCCTGGTCAAGACAATCTCCTGAACTCCAAACTGAATGTCAGAATGGGAAAGAAAGGGGATTTAAGCAATTTTGAGCGTGGCATGGTTGTTGGTGTCTGAGTATTTCACAATCTGCTCAGTTACTGGGATTTTCACACACAACCATTTCTAGGGTTTACAAAGAATGAACATCCAGTGTGCGGCAGTCCTGTGGGCCAAAATGCCTTGTTGATGCGAGAGGTCAGAGGTGAATGGGCCGACTGATTCAAGCTGATAGAAGAGCAACTTTGACTGAAATAACCATTTGTTACAACCGAGGTATGCAGCAAAGCATTTGTGAAGAAGACACAACACACACAACCTTGAGGCGGATGGGCTACAACAGCAGAAGACCCCACCGGGTACCACTCATCTCCACTACAAATAGGAGAAAGAGGCGACAATTTGCAAGAGCTACCAAAATTGGACAGTTGAAGACTGGAAAAATGAGTCTCGATTTCTGTTGAGACATTCAGATGGTTGAGTCAGAATTTGGCGTAAACAGAATGAGAACATGGATCCAATTGGGCCAATTGGACATCGTTTAAATGCCACGGCCTACCTGTGCATTGTTTCTGACCATGTATAACCGCCATGTCCCCATCCTCTGATGGCTACTTCCAGCAGGATAATGCACCATGTCACAAAGCTGGAATCACTTCAAATTGGTTTCTTGAACATGTCAATGAGTTGACTGTAGTAAAATGGCCGCCACAGTCACCAGATCTCAACCCAATAGAGCATCTTTGGGATGTGGTGGAACGGGAGCTTCGTGCCCTGGATGTGCGTCCCACAAATCTCCATCAACTGCAAGATGCTATTCTATCAATATGGGCCAACATTTCTAAAGAATGCTTGTTGAATCAATGCCACGTAGAATTAAGGCAGTTCTGGAGGCGAAAGGGGGTCTAGACATTGGAAAAATATCTTTTTTTTTTTTGTAATTCTGTCAATTATACTAAGATTAGACTTCATTGAAGGTAAATTGAAGCGGCCACATTGAGCTGTGCGTAACGCCCACAGAAGTAAAGTGAATGAGATAGAGGCTTTCCGGTACTGTCTGGAAAGGTTAACTCTGTGGCGATAAGATTTAACTTATCATAAATTCAATCAGGATACATAACACAGCCTAATAGGCCTACACTAAAAAGATTATTAAGGAAGCCTTCCAATTGAGAAGTACCAATTCGTTTTATTATTACTAAACGAATAAGTGTTTGAATGAATCCGTTGAAGGAATTATTTAAGTAACTCCCTAATTTATTTTTATTCCTGAATTAATCAGAATTTTTTAATGAATCAGTTGAACGAATGATTCAAATGACTCCACATTCTCGGAGAGCTTCTCGATATGATTCTAGAAATATTGGCAATTTTGTATAACGCATCATAGGAAAAAGTTCACCTATAATTCAACTCAGTCGCCATCATGTCATTTTAAGCCTTTATGTTGACATACTTTTTTACAGGGAACGCAAAAGGCGAGCTGCAAATGTAGATTGCGAATCACCACACTTGGCAATATAATGGATATGAGAGTACAAAGTTCTCCATTTTATGAATATCATAGAAAATACACAAGCTAAGATTAAAATAGCCACAGACAGTGACATTTCAGACCCGAGGGGAATAAATAACCTCCCTTTGTTTTCCCCTTGCTAGTGTGTGTAGCATGCGTTGGCCACAGTCAGCGTTCACATGTCATCTGCAGTTGTGTTTGCGTGTCGACAGGCAGATTTACTGTTAGTGTCTCGCCACCTGGCAGAAGCTCTGAGCGCTTGAAATTTCTCAGCTCTCTGGTCTCTGGGTTTATGACTTGCTACAAGTGTATGTGGTACATCCATAATTATGCAAATGTCCCAGCAACCACCTGTCATCCCTCGACAACGTCCTGCCACAGCATATGCCCATATTGCGACTACCATCTGATAGCGTGCGCATGCATATGCAGCTTACAGAAAGTCACAATTTTACAGACATAGAATATTTCGGTCAGGCCACAACTCACCACATGAGGTCCCTATGAAAACAGAACCGTGAAATCCGAATAGCCTGAGGCCGTAAAAAACACTCGCCAGACCAAGGGAGGGCCTATTATTCAATTAGGAACTGAACTCAATAATGATTTTTAATACACTTCCTTTTGTCGGTGTTCAGTTCACGTTCAGTTCACGGCTCTAATGACGAGGCCCCTCAGCCGAAGTGTAACTGTATAACTCTAACCTGTGTCTGTGATTACACTCGATAATTAGCTTAAGGCCAAGACGGCTCGAAACGCACAGAGATGGGTCTCAAGAAGAAGAAAAAAATAAAAGATCAAATAACATCCAAATACGTTGTCTCGGCCTCCATAAAATTACATTACATGTTACTAACGTCAAACAAGAAGTGACATGCGGATTGCAGATAATGGGAGCGGGAACTAATGTGGCTTTCAGAGAACAATGCAACAAAGGCAAAAATTGTGTTTTATTGAATGTGACAGGGTTGATGAACTCGGCCAAATCGTAACATCAATGCAGAAATATGAAGGAAGCCAAAATATGTCAGTGGAACCCATTACAGAGAAAGTCCGGAAATGTTTTGATTTTGAACAAATGTGGAACTTCTCAACAAACCTCATACTTTTCTGTCCAATTTGAGGTCTTTTTATTGTATTTTTTTGGTTCCAAACTTCCTAATTTGACCACAGATGTCTTTGAATATATTCTGGGAGCAGGTGCTTGCTCATATGTTCATATCCTTATTTAATTTTTTTTTTAAGAATCTAATCACAGAATCTTTGAAGAGAATCAAACCACATGCTCATCAGCAACATGTTGCATTATTACACTAATCCGCTCAATATGGGTAAATATTTCTCTTTTCCTGGCGTAATTAATGCAACTCAAAGATGTTCTGCAAATTTAGTCTTCAACTTTTCACATACAAAGACAAAAATATCAGTTACTCGAATACTGAAAAAAAAAAACGAGAATATACTCAAAAATACTTTTGCTGATGTCATTCTTTCTTCAGTCGAAAAGAAATTAAGGTTTTTGATGAAAACATTCCAGGATTTTTCTCCATATAATGGACTTTAATGGGAACCAAACGGTTCAAGGTCCAAATGAGAGTTTCAGTGCAGCTTCAAACGGCTTTAAACGACACCAGGCGATGAATAAGTGTCTTATCATCAAGCGAAACGGTCATTTAAAAAATGAATAACAAAGTTTAAGTTTTATAAGCTCAAATGCTCGCCTTGCTCTGTTCTGTGATGCGCGTTTGTGACTCTCCTGTTCGAACTCGTTCATCAAAATGAATGAATCTTTTTTCGAGTCACGACTCGAAGGGTCCTTGATAAAACCCTTATTCATCGTCTGGTGTCGTTTAAAGCCCTTTGAAGCTGCAATGAAACTCTCATTTGGACCATGAACCGTTTGGTTCCCATTGAAGTCCATTATATGGAGAAAAATCCTGGAATGTTTTCATCAAAAACCTTCATTTCTTTTCGACTGAAGAAAGAAAGACATGGACATCTTGGATGACATGGGGGTGAGTAAATTATCAGCAAACGTTTTTTGAAAAGTGAACTACTCCTTTAAGCCAAAAGTGTGTCATTTGACTCCTCTATCAATACAATCAACCCGCTTTCTCATGCACAAACGATACTGGGGTGGAAAGTTTAAAATATCTCTGCAAACTTTAACAGGAAAAAATGTCTGCGATTTTTTTTTAAACCAGCCATTTTTAGAAGTACAATGAGAGCATGGATTGCAGAAAGCATGTGATACTGCTCTAACAACATGGCTTTTGTTGAACAGCCCATCTAGTGAGTACACATGGAGGACACACGACCCCGTTTCATCCCTCTCCAGCCTATATGGGTTCCTAATGTGTGATCGGATTAGCTTTCCTCGGCCAGAAATTGGCTTCCCCTGCGTTTAATAACCGAGACGACCACTTAAAGGCCTGTACCCATCGATCTCAGGTGTGTTAGGGGTATGACCAGGCCCTCTAATGAGACCAAGCACCAATTCCAGCTCTCCATGGAGGATTATGAATAGAGGGGGAAACACAGGCCTGCAAATAACCGAGACACCAAAGACGGCGTTGAACTCACCAGGGACGCCCTCTCAGACATCATATTTACATCTCTAAACCACCGCCTCTCGTCGAGGGCCGAGATTGGTGGATTAGTCTGTAATCGAGGGAGAATATTCCCTGGTATGCACCACAATCACGACCTTTACGAGTTACGACTCATCTCTAACTTTAACTCGTTCCTCTATAAACCTTGTGTTTTCTGCATCGCTGAGTTGGCACTAATAACATGCAAT